TTTCTGCTGAGTTACCCAGACGTCAGACATCGAAGCACTTTCAACTGAAGTGTGATTGCAATGAAGTGACTTCACCAGACTGGCTGCTTTAGGCATTACTCGGCCATGTTACCCGTCTCTCTTGGAGGTCAAGGAACAAGGAAGGCTTTTGGAATTCACACATCTATGACTTTTCTTTGTCCCACAGATCATGGCCTTTTCCAAAGAGCATCTATGCAAGACTAATGATGTCGGGTCCACATCTGTAGTTGGCCTCGGGTTATAACCCACAGCCACTTTTGATTTCCTTTTTAGCCTGGGTAGTCACCACAAGAATGGTTCTTGTCCGTTACCTCCCTGAATGCCAACATCTGGCTCAGGTCTTGGGAATGGATTTGTACTTTGGTTTGATTCCTACTGAGTTGAAGTTATTTATTTAATGTAATGAAACTCAGGGCTTCTGGTTATGTTACTTTTACTTTCTCATTACTCTTCCTGCCTTGGGTCACTACTGTACATCACTCCCCTCTAACATTTTCTTCCTTTTGAACCATACTTTCTACTTTAAAAGCTACCCCATGCATCTGCTGAATATGGTCATGTTCCTTGGTGTGGCCAGGGAGAGAAATGGTGTATTATACAGTTAAGAACACAGGCACCTGAGCCAGGCCACCTGGGATATTGCCTGGGGGGCACCCTGAGCCCCCCCATATAACAGCTGAGTGACCTTGGGTAACTTCCTGGAAGTCGGCCTCATATCCTTCACTGGTTGGAGATAAAAATAGTATCCACAGAGGAAGGTGGTTGTGTAAATGAAATGCATGAATTTACATGAAACACATGCTAGTAGCCAGCATGTAGTAAGTACCTCCCCAAATGTTGGCTGTTGTCATTATCTTTACTCTTTATTATTTATGATAAGCTGTTTTATGATCTAACTAGAGTCTCCAGTGATCTCTCCTTGCCTCTGAACATGCTGTTGTGATATGAGTTTAGTGCTTCTGTAGGCACTGCTGTTATTTTGCATGCACCACATTACAATCTGTTCTGCTTGGTTCTTCTTTCCATTGAACCCCTACTTACCCTTTTTTTTTTTCCTTTGGAGAGGTTTTGCCTATAGGGCACATGCACTCGCCAGAAAGACAGAGAGAGACAGGAAAGCGAGAAATACATCCCACCCCCAGGGGGGATGGCCATGCTGCAATCACTTCTCCATTCTCCTTTCGGGATCTTGAGCATGCACGCACACGTGTCCGGCATCAGTTTAAGCCACTAGGTCCGGAACTCGAACCATGGTCGACTACATGGGAGTCCAGCGACATAGCCATTACGCCAACTGCTGGTCCCAACTCCTGCTTACTCTTAAAGCCCCAGGGAAAAATATCTCCTCTTTTTTGATGCCTTTGTCCCTCCTCCAGGCAGAATGACTAGTTTTCTCCATGAGTTATCAGAGTTCTCCAAAGCCCTCAGCTGTGTTACTTATCAGCTCTTTTTAGATGGTCTGTCCCCTTTCTGACACGTGAAGACTCACTCCCAGGCTTCCCTTTTCCTCTGGATTGAGAATTTCTTGAGGGAGAGACACCAGTCTTACTGTGTGTATGCTAGTTCCTTCCAGTATCTGGGACACAAACAAGGCATTTGGTAAATATTTGATGAACAAATAAATATTTGTTGCTCTCTTTTTAGTCTTAAATATAGGGGTTTTTTTTCCTTTTGTTTTGCTGGTTTTTTTCCTGTTCACAATGCATTACTAAATTTATAGCAAGAAAGACAATCTCAATAACTTGAAAGGCTGGCTGAAGTGATTGTATCTAACAGTGTAGTCATTTGGCTCTGTAGGCTGTTTTTTATTAGTCATTTAAAAAGACTGTCACAGGGTAGTTACGGAGACAAGAGATCATCATTTAAATCACAGTGCTTTCAACCCATCCACAGTTTTGGTCTACAATTTAATGATGAGAAAAATACATCTAGCAAGTAAATATTTAACTAAACATTTTGGTGCTTGACCTGAATACAGAGAGTAAAATGGAAATTTCGAATGTTAAAATGTTTAAGCAGGTGTCTGTCTGCATCTTACGAGTAGAAGTTAATGTTCTTTGATTAGGCAATAGCCAAGCCTTCCTTCTCATACTATAGGTATCTTATTTAAATATTAATAAGTGAGCATGGTTTAGGAAGAGAGAAAGCTTGCTTTGAATAAGAATACTAGCTTTGCCCAGATGGTTCCATGTTCCCATATTCTCTCATGTGCTGCTTCAGCTCATTTAGATTATAAAGAGTCCACCTCACTCAAGCTGGTCAGAGGATCGGGGCTTTTGGTAAGAGCTGACTTCAGAGGGACATTTCATAGGGATACAAGCAGGAGCTGCAGTAGAGCATGGCTTCAGTGGGCCACTGGGTGGTCAAAGCGGGCTCCATCCTCATTGAGCACCTTTCATGGGCTGTGTGTTTTCTCTCTTTAGTGTCTCCATCCCTTTGTTTTCCGCTTCCTCATGAACCAGAAGGAAGCATGTACGGGACTTCCAAGTGATAGCTTTCCTTACTCCACCCGTAGTATGTGTTCAATCCTAGTCTCTGTGCCAAGTAGCAGCATTGTCTCCAAGGAGTCTCAGTCATGCTCCTGGAGAAGGGTCCTGATAAGCTAGCTCCACCTTTAGTACCAGTAAGTTGGGCTTAGAGTGATGAACTTACTGGCTGCAGATCTTTCAGGTGTCTTCTCCTTGTTGAATCATCCATGGTCCTGGACATGAAGGACAACACCTCAAGGAGAGGTTGCAAACACAAATGCTTGTTGGATTCAGGCAGGGTATATAAGTAAACAAATGAGGGTATGAATTGTAGAGACATCTTTGCTTATGAAGCAGATGCCAGAATGGAGTGGTGTCTAAGGGTTAAGACTCTTGAGTAAGAGGGCTAAGATGTGAGTCCCAGTCTCCCCACTTGCCAGCTGGGTAACTAAGAACAAATTATTCCATCTCTGTGTGCCTTTGTTTCTTCTCTGTAATGTGGTCATGAGGATTAAATGAGTGCATAAAATGATGCCTGACATACAGTTAATACTATGTAGTTGTTTTTAAAGAAAATTTTCATTAGGAGTGGCATCTTCATCATTTAGTTCCCAACAAAATGGACTTTCTCCTATTTTTCCTAAAACGTTAGTCTGGCCTGAATGTATGTAATTTCCCCCTTTTGTAAAACCACAGGCAAAGAAAAGCATGTGAAGGTATCAACAGAGCAATAAAAAAGAAACTGTCCTTATTGAGGTGTCAATATTAAAGCAAGGGGAAGACCTTGGCAAAATAGGTACATGGGTCCTGCCTAAGGGACAGAGGCTTACCCAAGTGGAACAGATTGCTCTGATGAAGAAGGCCCAGGATGGGCCTGGCAGGTAGTGTGGTGGTTAAGGATGCTGGACTGCCACATGGTCAATTGCAGTTCAGGTCCCAGACCTGGTGAGGTCTCTCTCTCTCTCCTTCTCTCTCCCCCCCCCACTCTGGTCAAATTAAAAGAAAGAGAGAAAGAAAGAAAGAGAGAGATAGCAAGAAAGAAAGAAAAAGAAAGTTAAATAAAATAATTATTTTAAAAAAGAAAAAGAAAAAGGCCTAAGACTGTTAGGTGAATCAATTATCTGCTTTGCCAGAAGCCTAGATGATGTTTGAAACCTTGTGTTATTCAGTAAAACACCTACAGATTGGATACATGCAGTTTTCAAGCTAGTGGTCCTTTAGGAAGATGGTATGGGAAGGGCTGGTCCCTCAGAAAAGGCTGCATGTAAACCTTCTTGTACAGGTGAATGATAATAAAAATGTATCTCCCAGTGAAGGAGATAGTACTGTGAAGCCCATCTCAAATGTAGCAGGATGACCCAGGATACAGCATACTCCTATCTTCAAGAGTTAGTTTTATGTGTTTCCAAGAAAGGGTATCTGTCTTTGATTTTCTTATATTTCTTTTCTTAGAACAAATGAAATTGATAATGCTGCAGATATGTAGGTCCCCACTTCTCTGATTGCCTTTCCTAAAAGTGCCCTTTCCTGTCAAAGACTACTCCCTACCTATGCCCTGACACTTAACTTAATTCCTACTCAACCCACTGTGTCTCCAAATAGAACTGTGCACTTGTCACCCTAAACCTGTTACTTTCCACAGGCTTCCTCATCTCTCCCCAGTTCTTGCTAAATAACAAGCAGTAGCAGTTAAACACGGTTCTTTCTCTTTCAGTCTCCCTTCCTGAGACACGCACGCACAGATGCACACCCAAACCCATAGTCCTGTCTATTTTCCCTACTGTGGCTGGAGTTGTCTTCTATAAATGGAAATTGGCATATCATCCAATAAAAACCCTCTAGTTAGTTCTAACTACCTTAGAATGAATTCACCCAGGATCCTGGCCTCTGATGTGGCTGCGGCACCAGGCCCCACCTGTACCACTCTGTGCCTGCTTCATGAGGGACATGCTGGTGTTCACTCCCTTTTTCCAGCACATCAGCATCAGGCTTGATCCTACTCTGCTTTCTTTGCTTTATCTGTTCCCCTATCAAAATGCCGTTTCCCCCAGTTGTTTCTCACGAAGGCCTTTTCTCCACTCTCGGGTGAGACTGGCAGCGTGAGAACCTTGTTCATCTTGTAGTTGTTCAATGAATATGGGCATTGTGGGGTGGATGAAAGATATTATAAGAAAAAAATAAATATTTAGTAAAATCCATTGATTTAGGAGGCAGGAGGGAAAAGAGCAAATTTTCAGGACATAATAAGATTTCCTATATTACTAATACTGTTGATTTACCCAATGTGCAAACGATCTAGAATGTGAAAGGGAATTTACTTGGGCCTGATGCGGCAGTTAGAAGTTAGTACTTGAACATTCTGTTTCAAGTATTCTCATTAAAGGTAATAGCAGAAAATTGCAGCAAAGATTGCCCCAGTTTTTAAGTGGTGATCCCCTCTGTAGAGCTGTTGATTTGTTTAGTTAATGCTAATTTATTTAATATGGTTTTGCTTTTTGTTATTTTTTTTAGGTCTGTTGCCACAGTTATTGGGAGTCGCCCCAGAGAAGGCCATAAAACTTACAGTGAGTCCTTTGAATTGGTGTTGCTTCTTAGGGGAGTTTGCACATACTCCAGAATCTAGCTGCTATTCTTATGTGAAACAGTAGGTTTGTGGTTTTGCAGAGATACCAACTGGTTTGAAAATAGGGGCACTTGCCACATACAGCTTTTTACTGTTCCCCATTCCCAAAAATACGATATTAAACTTGAAGAAGACTTGGTGATTGCCACCCTCATTATTGTCATCCTAGCAGCAGCAACAGCTAAATCTCCTTCAGTACCTACCAGATTTGGCACTAGACATGCATTATCTCCTATGGTGTTAATCTCAAGCAAAGTATGAACCATGGCTGACAGATAAGGAAAGTGAGACCCATAGACTTTCAAATAGCTTACCTGCATTCAAATCCTGAGTGGAAGAATTAGAATTCAAAATCGGATTTTTCGGACTCCAAAGCATGTACTCCTTCGATTACAACTGCTGTTTACAGAATTCACACTTAGGGTGGGTTTTATGAACATTTTCCAAGGCCATGTGTTAAAGGATTTGAGTTTAAGTTGAAGTAGTTTGCCCAGTGCCTGGCTCACATTTGACAGGTGGTTGGGGCTCAGTTTAAGTATTCGTGGAATGGAGAGATAATGCATGTACATCACTAAGGCTGAAAAGCCCCAGAAAGTTAAACTGTAGTTGTAGACGGGGCCATGGAGCCTTGGTCCCTGAAATCCTTTTTGTACCCTTCTATTACATGACCTTGAGACAGCTCATTTTCTCTGGCTTTCTTTCTGCCAAAAACGTGAGAGAGTGCCTTACAATTGCTTGTAGTACATAACATTTTGAGAATATTATACTTAATTAATTAATGCAATTGATATTCTTTGAGAATCCTTGAGGAATTTTTAGATACTAAATTTCTCCTGAGCTGAAATAGTTGCTCAGCCAAGTTTGTCTCCATGACGAGTGCTGTTTTAGATTAAATCTTGTTAAAAGACTTAAAAGGAGTTTTTAATCAAATCTTATGAAATCGTTTTTAAATCGTTAAATGTATGGTTTTATTTTGTCTCTCTTGTCAGTATGTCTCCCTTCTTATGCTATTGTTACTGTAGGATATATTGAAATTTTTGGCCTTGGAACCAGCAGATGACCTAATGGTTATGTTACTGGACTTCCGTGGTTCGAGTCCTGGACCTGGCAGCTTAAAACTCACACCAGGCACATGTGCATGCATGCCCAAAATCCCAAGAGGAGATTGAAGGAGAAGGGATTACAGCGTGACCATCCTCCCGTGCAGGGGGTGATTTCTCGCCTTAAGTCTCTCTGGCGAGCACACACACCCTATAGCAAAAATCTCTCTTAAAAAAATTATTATTTTTTTGCCTATAGACCATTTATCTTTTAATTTTCCTCCTGAAATATTAGGTATGCATACATGTTTCTTACATTTTAAAAACTTCATTTATGCTATTATGAGAACTTCTCAAACTATTTTAAGATCTGTTCATTTATGCAGTTTATGATTACTCCAATAGACAGAGAAATGACACACACATATATATATATATATAAATCATTTTTTTGGGAGGGAGAGATTTTTGCTATAGGGCACATGCACTCGCCAGACAGACAGAGACAGAGAGACAGAAAGCGAGAAATGACCCCCCAGGGGGGATGGCCATGCCGCAATCCCTTCTCCTCCATTCTCCTCTCGGGATCCTGGGCACACATGCACATGGGCCCAGCGTGAGTTTTAAGCCACCGGGTCTGGGACTCGAACTGCAGTCGACTACATGGGAGTCCAGCGACATAGCCATTACGCTAACTGCTGGTCTCAAGAAATGACATATATTGACAGATGCATATTTATACGTGTTTAATGACTTTCTTTATATTTTTCATCAGCTTCTATAAATATTTTTCTTCAAGGTGAACGATTTTGTGAGGGATAAATTTATGCACAAAGATGGTTCAGTCCCACTCGCAGCAGAAATTCTGGCCGGAGGCTGTGTAAGTATCTCTTGCCCATCTCTAAAATGCAAATAGTTGTTTCACATATGCATCTCTACCTAGTAAACCAGTGTGGACTAAGGCTTCTGTTTAACCACAGATCCTGTACAAGGGCAGAGTCTCCTCATGCCCCTCGGCTTTTCCTAGACAAGCGAACCATTCCTGAGGTGGAAGGGTAAATGTTTCTGCTCTTACTGCCTGTTCACCCATGCTGCAGAATTCATCATTGCTTGCAGTTGGTTCTGCAGTAGTAGTCATCTGTGGCAGAAGTGTTTGGCCTCTGAAAAATCTGTGCTGACCTTTTTCAAAAGTTTTATTTTAGAATAGTCTTTCCTTGTGGCATCCTCTGCTGGGGCAGGCACTAAAGTTTGTGGTTTGCTGCCAGCGGCCATCGCTCTCCGCTTTGCTTTTCCTTACCACGTGGCAGTGCCTCTTCCAGCTTCCAGTGCTTCTGGGAGAGCCCTGCTGGGAAATCCCTGGCCGCGTGCGCTTTGCATTGTCCAAGATGCTTGGAATGATTGTTTCTCGATATGGATGAACAGCCGCAGATTGTTCTGAAGCTCAGCACAACATTGTGTCTGGTTTTATTGCATGTACCTGTTCTCGTGAATGTAAATACCTTAAGTAAATTAAACTCTTGCTCAAGGACTGCTGCTATTTAAAGACAAGGTTGGTTAAATAAACAGTCTTTGATCACTCAGGCAAAACAATATTGTATATGTTCCATCTAAACCTATGTTTCTTTCTTTTAAGAAAAATGAGGTCACTTTAAAAAAAAATAGGCTTGCTCTGGTCAGGAAATGGTATTCATGAAATAATTACTTTTCCTGAAAATCATTGCGTTTAGAAGTTGGGCAAACACTTGAGAATATTAAACAGTGGTGTGGAAAGGGCTTATTGTCCTGTGTAACATTGGATGGCGGTTCCTTGAATGTAGCAAGCGCTGAATAGTCTTAGCTCCTGGAAATTCTTAAGAGATGGATGGAATTTGACTACTGCCTGGCTCTCTGTTTGATCAGTGACCTGTCAGGGATGGCCAGGTAGGTAGGATCCCCCTGTTCTGTAACCTTAGGAGCATTCAAGTTGGAAAAAAGGGAGCCTTTAATGTCCTAAATAAAAAGGGCAGACAATAATTAAAGAGAATATTGGGAGCAGCAGCAACTGCTCTTCCCTGTTAAGTACTTTACATTTGGAACTAGTTTTCTCATTTTTAAGTAGGTTGACCCATAAGGTGTATGTTGCCCAGCGATCACACGAAGCCTGCAATAGCAGGGCACTTTGGTAGGTTAGATGGAGTTTTTTTGTTTTAGGTTAGGTTTCAAACTTACTGAAAAGACATGATTATAGATCTCTAAGAACTTAAAATTAATTATGTGATACTACCCAAGATTTTGGCAATCATCATGGCACGGTGCCTGGAGGCTTCTTTTCTCTTTAATGAAAGCACCTTGCCTGCACAGGCATCTGGGTGCCAGGGAGATCAGTCGTGGCACGCGTTGTCTTGGTACCATCTGTAGGTGGTCTTGTTTTCGTGGTCGCCCATTTCAAACACAAAGCACAGACTGGCATCAGAGTGGTGCCTGGTTATCGTGTAGCAGTGTAGCCCCTTTCAAACCCGATCTAAACACAGGCTTAAAATTGGAGCCACTTGGGCTTTACAGCTACTTAAAATATCTGTGAAATGAGGTTTGCCATCTTTCATTTCAAAGGCGGGGAGACAGTGGTCCTCAGTGTTTCAAGGCTCCTGTTTTGCCTTTTGTTTTCCAGTCATTACTTTAAGGAGGAAGACTTTATTTTCAGGTAAGCAATCTTGAAGGGAGCAAACAACCCAGGCTCCTTTAGATCTGAGTAGAGGGTGCCTCATTCTCTTTCAATGTGCATGTGTGTTTTAAGGAGCAGCCCCATCTTTGTAGGCTTTGGCAAACCTTTCTCCTGGATGGAAGCCAGTTGTACACCTTAGGAAGTTGTCGTGGGTTCCACAGCCTCCTCTGTCAAGTTGGGAATACAAAGGGTTTTGTAAGGTGTGTCACATGAGCAGTCCTCTGTCTTAGTTCATCCAAGCATTGCTAGGTGTTGACTTTTAAGTCCTTGGGGAGCTCACCTTGCTTCATTATTACCGAGAATTAGTACACATGGCTGACTTTCGTACTTGTAACCAGTTACTCACTTCTTTGAACAAGACTTTTTCTGTTTTATAATCTGTTTTCTGCAAAAACAGGAAATATGCAGGTCTTTGCCTTAGAACCTTGTAACTTCATAGGCCTTCGCTAACTAGTCTTTTTTGTTACTCGTTTTAGAAAAAAAGAAAATGATAATAAACTTAGAGGAAGAAAATATTGACACTAAAAAGGAATAAAATGTATCCTATTCCTTCACATATTGTTTCTGATATACTAAGATTTGTAACTGAAGAGATGAAAAGATATTTTTGTTTCCTTAATACATGCCAAGGAGTGACTCTGACTTTATTTTAAAACTCAACTTTCTGGGACCAGCAGTTAGTGTAATGGCTATGTCGCTGGATTCCCATGTAGGTAACCGCGGTTTGAATCCCAGACCTGGTGACTTAAACTCAGGTCAGGCACATGTGTGTGCATGCCCAAGATCCCGAGAGGACAATGGAGGAGAAGGAATTGCAGCATGGCCATCCCCCCTGGGGGGCGATTTCTCGCTTTCTGTCTCTCTGTCTCTTTCTGTCCTTCTGGCGAGCGCACACGTCCTATAGCAGAAACCTCACCAAAACAAACAGACAAACTGACTTTTCTCATTGAGGTTAGTTTTAGTTTAGAGCACTGTTAACATGTTTACTTTAGCTTTTTGAGCATTTTGATAGATTCACACTTAACAGTGGTAATAATACCCAGGACAGTTTAAGACTAAATAAGATACAGGGACCAGCAATTAGCGTAATGGCTATGTCGCTGGACTCCCACGTAGTCAGCCACGGTTCGCGTCCCGGACCCGGTGGCTTAAAACTCACGCCTTCTGGGACCAGCAGTTAGTGTAATGGCTATGTCGCTGGATTCCCATGTAGGTAACCGCGGTTTGAATCCCAGACCTGGTGACTTAAACTCAGGTCAGGCACATGTGCGTGCATGCCCAAGATCCCGAGAGGACAATGGAGGAGAAGGAATTGCAGCATGGCCATCCCCCCTGGGGGGCGATTTCTCGCTTTCTGTCTCTCTGTCTCTTTCTGTCCTTCTGGCGAGCGCACACGTCCTATAGCAGAAACCTCACCAAAACAAACAGACAAACTGACTTTTCTCATTGAGGTTAGTTTTAGTTTAGAGCACTGTTAACATGTTTACTTTAGCTTTTTGAGCATTTTGATAGATTCACACTTAACAGTGGTAATAATACCCAGGACAGTTTAAGACTAAATAAGATACAGGGACCAGCAATTAGCGTAATGGCTATGTCGCTGGACTCCCACGTAGTCAGCCACGGTTCGCGTCCCGGACCCGGTGGCTTAAAACTCACGCCTTTTTTTTGGCACGTGTGCGTGCGTGCCCAAGATCCCGAGAGGAGAATGGAGGAGAAGGGATTGTGGCGTGGCCATCACCCCTGTGGGGTGATTTCTCACTTCTTTCTGTCTCTCTGTCTCTCTCTGTCTGTCTGGCTAGCGCATGCGCCCTATAGCAAAAGGAAAAACCTCTCCAAAAAAAAAAGACTAAGATGCAGAGATAGGGGATTTCAAATTCTAAGTCTAAAAGAATTCTTTCTGCCTTCTAAATTAGGCTAATAGTTGTAATATTCCTGATACCTAAACCCT